TTTAACATAATCACAAACACAAATTAAATGATAATTCGGATTTACAACAATTTGCACCTTATTTTTCGTTGTTTTGGCCATTAAAATCCAAGAACACAGTGATAATGATACAACAAAGTTAACCAGAAGATTAACAAGCCAAAAATTCAGTCCGATTATCTAAACCATTTCATTTGGAGGTTAAATTGAAAAGTAAGGCCAATAAAACCCAGAATTATCCTTCAAGAGGCTACAAAGCTATAAATTAAGGCCAGGAAAAGCTTCATATGTGCTTGATTGTACATTCTGTTCAATTAAATACTGAGGCAAGGACTCGGCATCATGTTAATGCATCACTGTTGTTTCTGTCTCCCTACTAGCACGCTATGAGGACCTGGAGCAAAGTGATGTTAGAGTGCAATACTTATGGGAAGCACTGACGAATTTCACCAATGGTCAGTTCGCTGTTTATTTGTCAACCTTTTACACAGCATGTCTGTTATAGTGAATGTCTTTTACAACGTGTCATACATAGCAATAGTTTGAAGTTTAACAAGTGTCTTGGTGTATTTGTTGTGCTGAAAATATAGAACAGGTTTGAATTCTGTTTTTCAGAGGATCGCAGCAGGTTTCTGAGGTTTGTAACTGGTAGAAGTCGTCTTCCTGCGCCTATCTACGTCTTTCCTGACAAACAAGGGTGAGTGCAAGTATAGCCTTAAAAAAATTGACAGAAATACAACTGTTTGGTATTGATAGCTTATTTAGAAAACTTACAATGGAACATGATGCTAATTTTTCTGTTTCCTGATTTAGCTCTGAAACGACCGATGCACTTCCACAGTCCTCCACATGTTCCAGCACCCTTTATTTACCCAACTACCCAAGGTATCATAATGTTCTGTGTTTTGTATATGCAGAAGCTGCTGCTATATATTGATGTGTACATGTAATATACAGTTGTGTTTTAGATGTATGCATTGACGTATTGTACTTGTTTTATGTTTCTATAGCATAGCTTTCATGATCCTACACTTAATTACATTCGTGTGAGGCTCTGATGTTAGATTTATTGCCCTCATCCTTTCCCTTCCTCTTGTTCATTTTGTCCTGCAGTGCAAAAGTTTGTGAGGAGAAGCTGCGTTACGCTGCCTACAACTGTGTGGCCATTGACACAGACATGAGCCCCTGGGAAGAGTGATTTATCTGCTGCTTTACTGAATGAACACTTTACAAATCACTGTTTAACTGAGAGAATTTTTTGCCAAGTTTATCACCATATCTACACAACTGCCAATTAATCCTAGCTGTATATAATAAAGAACTCTATGGAAACATGGAAATGACTTTGAGGGTTTTATTAACGACTGTGTCTTAAATGAAACATGAAATGATTGGATGTGTTGAAGTTTGCTTTTTTGTTTTTAAGGGTAATGGAACAGTGGTTTCACTTTAGCAAAGTTTTGTCATGAGTAATGTTCTATAAATAAAACAGTAAGCAGCATATGGAGAAATATGTAGTTTTACTGAATACCATTGTATGTTATTTATTTAAAATGAACTGGATATGGCAGTCAAGCCAGCTTTATGAACGTCAATCACTGCATTGAAAGGGTGTCAGAATACACAACAAATCTTTTTATTTTCTCTCAGATACAACTTTGACATGCAAAGCCAGGTTTATGGTAAAATAAACTAGTGAGCAGAATCTGACAAAAGATTTTGAAATATAATTCAAACTCGGAAATGTCAAATGAGCTATACTATTAGGCTATGTTACAAATGAACCGATTTTTAAATAACAAAAGAAATAAATGAAAATGATGTTGATATCAGAAGTTCAACCATGACCTTGGATATAGTAACAAAATTATCTTGATTTGCTTGATTAAATTAGATTGTCCTCTCACTTGCTCTAAAAAATTATATAGATTTAAAGATAATATAGATTTCTATTTTTCTCTAGATTTATCTATGTACATATATATGCATGTAAATATGTGTGTGTGTACAGTAGAATATAAATATGTTTATTAATTAAATGGCAAATGCAAATATGTATTTAATACAATATATTACAATTTATCATATTTAATGTTATATAATTAAATATAATTACAATTTAATAAGGTTGACTTAAACTATATTTTTTATGAAATAAATACAAAATAAAATACAGCAGAAGAATAAAAGATAATATTTGATTCCTTGTCTTATTTACCTTCAACCATGAAAACTGAAATAAAGCCATAAACATGCAAATACAAATGATACATAAATGAATAAATAAATTAAAAATGAAGGGATTAATGTGAACTGTATTTTAGAAGAGCAAAACATTTCTGATCTTTTTTTTTTTTTTTTTTTGCTTTTATTCTTAAAGTTAATTCATTTAGAAAAATTTGTGATGGGGTCTACATTTAGCAAAATTACAACAATATTAATATTAAAATTATATTATTATTAATCAGTGCTCCAAAGTAACTAAGCACATTAAATTAAGAACAATTTGGGGTATTTCAACATTTGGCTAAATTTAAGAGGAAACTACTATTATTATTATCCTAATAATAAATTCACAGGTGCTCACACGTGGTGATATTTGTGAGTGAACAGCAAAACCTCACACAAGAATACCGTTCGCTGCGGAGTGAATTCTCGCGAGAACACGCAGCTTCAAACCTCCCCATGAGCCTTTGCGGTTCCTCTTTCTAGCCGGCGCCTGAGAATGGGTACGTGTTTTCATGCTCGGGTCGGAGGGAGAATCCTTGTCCATCTGATGTTTATACGAAGGAATATTTCTATAATGGTTTGCCATATTGACTATTAATGTTATTTGCACAGATCTAGCTTTATCTTTGCTGTCCATTGTTAGTGTGTTGTGTTTTAATGAAGTAATTCTTAAAGGATGTCTGAAGTGCCCCAAGATGGCTGCCCTCGTTGGCTATGTAGTTAGCTTGTGGTGCTACAGTGTGTCTGAAAACAGCGTACTTTGCTATTTGTGAGATTTAAGCAGTGTTACGCCATGTGTAGTTATTATGTCAGTGGTGCAGGACAAGTACTAAGTGTTTAAGAGTGCTAGGTAAATTGAAAGGTAAGGCAAAGCTAGCATTAGCGTTAGCTGGTAGTATGGTCGTGATCATGTCACGCTGCTTCACTGAAACACTTGAGGGAATATTGAGCATAATACTGGTTTGAGAAGATAGTTGGGTGCACCTAATATGTGTTTTAAAGTTTAAGTAATTTAAATGTGTGTCTTCGGACACGTGGATACCACAATGATTTGACGATCTTAAAATTGCTGTTTAAATTAGTTTGCTGTTATGCTGTGATAGTTATACATGTGAAAGGACAGGGTTTTAAGTGACATACAACATATGGTCTGCTTAGTTGTGTGGGACATCAGACTCTTGAAGCTAGTGGGGGCCATCTGTTTCCCAGGGTCCTATGTATTTTGAGTTAACCTAATATTATGGGTTTTGCAGTTTAAATTGCAGAAGAATTAAGGGATATGTGTGTTTCAAATGCAGTTAGGATGGTAAAAATCTGTTAAGTATTTGTGGAGACATCAATATATTAAGTCAAACTTTACTTGTAACATAATGTCATATGAGGATATTGAGCTGGGGAATAAAGGACCCTGGAAATAATGATGCTCCTCAAATTTGAGTCTTTGAAATCTAGTTTACCATGATCTTAGAAAGGTAACATGCAGACATTTAGCCATGAAGGGAGCTTACTGTTGCTTGAGCTATATGATGAAACTCTATAAGCGGAATCCAAATTAAAATTGCGGACAACCCATACCTTGGAGAACTGATTGCTCAAGCACAGACAATTATTTTTTAGTGAAGGTCTTGTGAGCTGTCCAGTGATCTAACTCCTGTTTTTCCTTTTTTCATTTACTCAGGTATCTCAAGGGACAACTGGCATAAACGCCGCAAGACCGGCGGTAAACGCAAGCCCTACCACAAGAAAAGGAAGTATGAGCTCGGGCGCCCTCCTGCAAACACAAAAGTGAGTCAAAACAAGTGGTTGCCTGTTAAAAATGGACTTAAAGTGATGTAGCGTGGGTGATGAAAACGTGACCTTAGGTATGTCTTTTTTGGGTCGTTTTGGCTCAAAGCTCAGGACCTACCAATGTTAGGACTTGTCATAGTTACACTGACACGCTTCATTACATGTGCATAGTACTGTTTTATTTTTCCACAAGTTGTTGGAATTCAATCTTTACACATAAATAACCTGAATTGTAAGCATTTAAATTGAACCAGTACTAAAACCATGTCTTTCTATAGATCGGACCTCGTCGCATCCACACAGTGAGGGTCCGTGGTGGGAACAAGAAGTACCGCGCTCTGAGGTTGGATGTTGGTAACTTCTCGTGGGGCTCTGAGTGTAAGTTTATTTTAAATGCAACTTTAATTTTATAGGACCTTTTTGAGCCCTGTTTGGTAACCTGCATCTTTCCATGATGATAACTTTGTCCAGTTCTGCTACTGAATGCAAGTGGTGATAACAAAGACACCTGAGAAAGACAGACATGTTCCCCATGCATTGCATTTAAAAAAAAACATCCAAACAATGTTTTCGTTTGGCAAGTAAAATAGGAGGGAACATTTGCTTTTGCTAACAGCTTTTGTTTTTTGTATGCAGGCTGCACACGCAAGACCAGGATCATTGATGTGGTCTACAATGCCTCCAACAACGAGCTGGTCAGAACCAAGACCCTGGTGAAGAACTGCATCGTCCTCGTCGACAGCCTTCCCTACAGGCAGTGGTATGAGGCCCACTATGCCACTCCTCTGGGACGCAAGAAGGGAGCCAAGCTGGTATGTGGGGAAAATACAAATGTCTCATAGACCCTGTTTTAATTCAGTGGTGAGAAATAAATCGGCAGCCCACCATTATTTTGACATAATTAACAAAGTTAGACCCAGGTCATAAGATGGCAAAATTAAAAGGCATGGTCTTTTTTTTAATAGCATCTGTATTGTGAAGTGCTGTCTGATTTGGTGCATGTCTTTCCATGAAGATAACTTTGTCCAGTTCTGCTACTGAATTAAAGTGATGATAATGAAGACTCTGAGAAAGACCTATTACCAATGCTGCCTTCCTCTGCAGTGTTTAATTTGAATCACTGTATGGCCCAGCAGCTGAAGTTTGAATTTTACATGTCCATCTAATGAACTTTATTCTGCCTTTTGTCTGTAGACTCCTGAGGAGGAGGAGGTCCTGAATAAGAAGAGGTCGAAGAGGACCCAGAAGAAGTACGATGAGCGTAAAAAGACAGCCAAGATCAGCACCCTCTTGGAGGAGCAGTTCCAGCAGGGAAAACTGCTTGGTGAGTCTCAACATGTGTTTTCAGCTGTGGTAGCTGTCTTGTAATACTTACAATATGAAGTCTGCATCGCATAACTGCCGCATTTTTGTGAAAGATTTGACCTCTGATTGGCTGTTCACTAAGTGATTTAGTCCACCGTGGAATAATTTCAAAGAAAAGTCATCAGCTCTTTTTCACTTTTGCTGGGGAGAAGGTTAACAAACGGTAACTTACAATCCTGCATAGTGTACCTTAATTAATTTCACTGCCAAGTCACATGCTACTTAATTTCAGTGTGAAGATAAACGCTCTGGTCACATGTCTTAATTTGTGACAACGCGGTAATTTCTGAGAGTTCAAATATCTGCATTTAAATGAGCTTATGAATGCAATATTCCCATCATAGGAAATGTGTACTTTTAGGAATGTGAAATTGCACAAATCAAATCCTGTGCAATATTTCACCCAGTGTGGAAATCGGTTCAACTTGTTTGACTGAATCTACATGTAGTGTAAAATTGGTCTGTGGAAAGACATTTTTAATCTCTGAATACGTTTCCTTTTTTATATAATTGACTGAAGTTACAGCAGGGTTAGAAGATGACAACCAGTATTGTGAAATGCTGTCTGATCTGGTTCACGTCTTTCCATAAGGATAACATTGTCCTGTTTCTACTACTGTATGAAAATGGTGATAACAAAGGCTCTGAAAAAGACCTGTTGCCCACACTGCTTTCTTCTGCAGTGCTTAATTTAAATCACCTGGTGTTGTCCAGCAGCTGACGATTAAACTTTACTCACTGGTGTTTAATGTCCATCTAATGAGCTCAGAAAGACCTGGATATCTACTGCAGTGTTGATTTACTAAGTCTGCAGGATTAAGTTTAGGAAGTTAAATATTAGCCCTTGCCGCTTTATATGTTGTTGACCTGGAATGCCTCCATGTGTATATTAATGTAGCTGAGGGTGCAGCAGGGCAACTATAGACAGGTGTGTTGGATCAAAAGCTCTGGTTGTGAACAAACCAAAAAACACTAGTTGTCACTTGTACTCACTCTCAAAAGAATAATAAAGTTTAATTACATTGACGTTACTATTAACTTGTGGTGTCTTAGCATTTCTGTATTGTCAAAACCGACTTGGACCTGAGGTTATTTGAGTTATGCACCACTTCCTGTTTGTCTTGAGACGGTTTATCCACCTCCACTGATCATATTTCCGCTCTTCCCCCCTGCAGCTTGCATCGCCTCCAGACCCGGCCAGTGTGGCAGGGCAGACGGCTACATCCTTGAAGGCAAGGAGCTCGAGTTCTACCTGAGGAAGATCAAGGCCAAGAAAGGCAAATAGATGTACAGCTGTTTGATACGTCAATAAAATCCAAACAACCCACAAGTGTCTGCTGTCACTGCTTTACTCTTGCAGTTCATCTGTGATGTTAGATTCCATTGAATATCTCATCTGACAAGCTTGCCCTACTCTGAGACCCCTGGACAAGCCTGTTACTCATTGTGAAGCGGTTGAAGCATGTTGAACTTCAAATAAGTACAATTGTTGACTTCATCTCAAAACCAATAGACAAAAATGGCTGTAGGGGCAAAGGGCTGTGCTGGGACAACAGGAAGCCTGTAGCATGTCTAGATGTGCTGGAGGACTAAAACTTTCACCATGTTAGATAACCAGTGATGGAAGACATGTTGAGCCCTTTAGCTTGGTAAAAGCTGTACCTCCAATATTACAGGTAAAAGTTGTGTATTTTAAATTTTTTTTTTGAAATATTTGAATTTTTTTTTTTAAGCTTACAGAAATTGCAAAGTACCAAAAAAAATGAAGTGCTCAGTTTGTCCTCAAGGTAGTATACGCAATATACTGTTTATGATAGAATTAGTGTTAATGGTACATAAATTATAAAATTTACTGTAGCTGAATGCAGTGGCACTACTTTTAACTTAAAGTGCATAGCAGTAAATCATATCTTAAAAATAAGTCATGTAAGATGGAACTCTATTCACCCCCAGAATAACTGTTGATCAGCAGTTGCACTACTAAAAAGGGAAAAATGCCAATATAGAAACCAACAAATGTAGGTACAAATGTAGAAAAAAATCTTAGTCGTAAAGCTCATATCTCAAGTTTAATATATGAACAATACATAACATGTAGCATTTAAATGTACTGGAGTAAATGCTTGATATTTTCCTCTAAACTATACTGTAGAGTAAAAGAATTAAGAGCAGAAAATAATACTCTAAATACCTACAAACTATAGTACCTAGTTACTTTCCACCACTTCAGGTAATGTTTTGCTCTTGTTTTTATGTCTGGCCGACAAGCCAAACATTCTGCTATCCATCTGCGTCTTGGCAGCACAATATATTGACTTCATATTAATATGGATACTCTACATATAATGTCTCAGGAGGTCTCCAACAATATGAATTCACATGTATGAACACAACAATTTAAAAGAACATAACCCATACATAAAATCTACATCTGTTGTCAGCTAAAATTATATATCTGATTCAGTTCTTCAATAAACAGACAGTAATCCATATAAAGTGAGATGATGATGCTATTCTACACTGTACATACACTCATCACCAGCTACTCTATTAGGTACACAGTTTCAACTCTGTTCATGCAAATATCTAATAAGACAATTGTGACACATCATGTGACGACAGTCGTGGGCACAGCGACCAGCAGAGGAGACGAGACGGCTTACAGGAAGAAGAAAACGAAGGAGATGATCATCGACCCCAGGAGGAAAAAGGATGATCACCAGCCTCTGGAGATACATGGAGAAGCTGTGGAGAGGGTGTCAACCTTCAAGTTCCTGGGTACACATATCACACAACAGGAACTGTCTGATCAGGGCACAGCAGTGATTACACTTCCTGAGAGCTCTCAGAAGGATCAAACCGTCACCACCTCTGCTGCTGCCCTATCACTGCTCTGTGGAAAGTGTCCTGATTTATGGCATCCCTGTGTGGTACAGCAGCAGCTCTGCAGCTGACAAGATGGCCCTGCAGAGAGTGATAAAAGCTGCACAGAAAATATGGAACACGCACCTACCTGCTCTGGAGGACACCTCCTGTTGCCTCCAGAAAACAACTAACATCTTGAAGGACTAATCTCACCCTGCCCACCATCTGTTTGATGTTATCGAACAATTAAAACAAGCACCAGCAGACTGTTGAACAGTTTTTACCACAAAGCCATTGCTACACTGAATGCTGCACCGAAATCACCCAGCCAGTAATATATAATATTTACACTTACATCATGTGGGATAACTTTATTCTTTTATTTATTTTATGTGCAAATAATTTTAAATTATTTTATGTACACGGCATATGTTGGAACTGCTTCTGTATGTGTGCATGTGTGTGTTTAGAGTATGAATAAATTATATCTTATCCCCTCCTTTATCATTTATGTATTACTTTTAAATGAGTTCCATTTATTCTGTGCATTAAATTTGGTTGTATTCATTTACAATGACAATAAAAGGAATTGAATTGAATGGGGGAGCAACATGATGCACTTCGGCATGTAGAGGAGAAAGGCTGGACTGAACTGACTGAAAGGCAACAATAACTCAAATCACCACTCATTACAACAGGGGTATGCAGAGGTGCATCTCTGAATGCACAACACATCGAACCTAAAGCAATAGACCACAGTGTACCCATCTTCTTATGGCTGCATCATGCGTCATGTCACAAAGCTCAAATCATCTCAAACTGGTTTCTTGTATTTGACAATGAGTTCACTGTACTCAAATAGCCTCAACAGTCACCAGATCTCAATCCAATACAGCACCTTTGGGATGTAGTGGATTGGGAGTCGACAAATCTGCAGTAACTGTGTGATGCTATCATGTCAATGTGGACCAAAACCTCTGAGAAAATGGACAAGAGTGATTCAACCCTGTTATATTACTTATCTTATGGTATTCATTTTATGTTCTGTTTTGGCGCTTGCAAACTTAACAGTGATTCTTGATTGTGACGATATTTCACATTTTATTGGAGGTGTAAATCACTTGAAAGTAGGAAAAACCTGCTGCGCACTTTGGCTCTATATGCATTTCTCTGTTATTCAAATGATGTTTCGGCCCTCAGGCCTTCTTCAAGATCAACAATCACTCATTTTCCTACTGTCAGGTCTACTTCCAATGATCAGCACCTCACCTGTAAACTGTAAACTTTGGATCCTTTTGATCTAAAAGTTACATGATCATAGCACGGTTAACCAACTGACTAATAAATTGTCTGAGCTTTATAAAATCTGTTTTATTGTTAGAGGTTAAACTAAAAAGTAAAGTAAATCCAACAGAAAAATGCTGCTCACACATTCAAACATCACTAAAAATAATTTTATAATACAACATGTACTACTCAAGGACTATATACTGCATTATGAGTACTTATAGTTTTGATAAATGTAGTTGATTCTGTATTTTGTAGATATTATCTATAAGGTGTGTTGAAATTATAAATAAGGTATGATTCTGGATAGTCTTCTGTAATCGACATTTAATTGCTTGTCATTGAAAGTTGTGATATGTAACTAAGTACATTAACACAAGTGTTGTACTTGAGTACAAGATACTTTTACTGTATTTGAGTCTTCTTGTCATGCCTCTTTCTATTTCTACTCTGCTACAATTCACAGGGAAATGTTGCACTTTCAAGACAAAACACTGTGAAGTGAGACTGACAATGTCAAGGTGTCTCTTCGGGCTCTGGGTAGGTGTGACCACAT